GGGGGAAATGTTCTGCAACATTTGTCAGCACCACATCTAGGAGGGAATAAACATCCTTTTCTTAATTTAACCAGCTTTAAATGATAGATTACTACACTAGGATCAACTAATGAAACAAAATGACTTGAATATGACTTAAATATCCTTCCAATCTAACGCACAATAATAAATATCTTGTACCCCTTAAAAGTTTATAAAAAAAGAAAAAGAAAGGAGGGGGGTTTGAAACTAGACTTTTAAAACTAATGCAAATTGAGGATTTATAATTCAGAAATTTTGGAGCAGCCAGTGAATACAGGGAAAATATTCAATAGTTCACACAAATTTAAACGTGTGCTAAAAGCCTAGTCTATCTAGACCATACCAAACATTTCGCAAATTACTAGCAACAATAATATCTATTAGCTTTCACTGATCACAGATAAAATCACCAAAAGCATTAATATAAAACTATACGCTTTGTCGATCTTATACAATAACCAAATTATCAAGATGGGTTCTACGCCAGTTTCTAATAACAATGTGGGGAACTTTATTTTAACACTTTGAGGTGGAGGTTAAAGAGTTGTTTATCAAGCTATAACTAAAAACTCTCCACAGAATCAAACAAATGCTAAACTAGAAGGACATTTTGGAATTATCAACTGATTGAATATTTAAAAGCTGTCAAGTTAAATAATCCAGGTTGTTCCATCACCTAATCAGTTTGACAGCACAGACAACTGTTTCAATCTAAAACGAGAAAGTCCATGCAAAGGCTTGCATATTCTAGTTTCCAGAAAATATATTGTTAGATTAAAGAATAAAGAGGAAGAATAAAGTGGAAGCATGAGTCATTACTTTATTTTAGATCAAGAATGGATTTAACACAAAACCAAAGCCAAATGAAAAATATAGCCTAGTTCTTAGTGAGTTGCTGAAAGCACAACAGACAGAGAACTCACCAATAAAGAAGACAGTTAGCACTAGCAACAAGGTGATGCGAAGGGAACGGTTATTATATTGAGAACCCTGAAAATGCCGTTGCAATCCACCGACTCTTCCAATTTGTTGCACACTTGAGCCTTTAGGACTTTCCTTGCAACTACCGAAACAATTTCTGCTTCTTTCACTTAACCCATTTGCTCCCTGATTAATTACAAAATAAACACAATAGATTAACATCACTGACCAGAACTCTGGCTGCCTACACATCACTTTCGAAAAACAGCTTGAAGACATGATAAACAAACAATAAGAAATACAAGGTAGCAGTGGTCACACTCCAAATTGGACAGATATCTAGAATATATTCAAATATGGCCTCAAAGTTTATCTAATTGTGTAGTAGACTCATCAAAGTAATCAAATTTCTATCCTCAAAATGATATACTTAGTTGTAAGGGAGATAAGGCCACACATAACAAAATAACAGCAAGAAGCAATACCTATTTCATAATCTCAGATATATCCGATAAGTTATATAAGAACTTACAAACATGTATAATCCAAACGACACTAAAAGAAAACATGAAAGAATGCAATTGTACCTGCTCCAACAAGGAAATTCCCTTCAAGTCAAGATAGTTTGAGAACCCATTTTCTGTCTGAATGTGCTCCCCACTCTTGACCTTTCTAAAGCTATTTCTAAACAACGTTAACTTGGCTTTGGTTTCAACACTTCTAAGGAAACCCCAGAAACCAGATGCTCGATTGTTCATCTCTTGCTTACTTTTAACTAACTTTTTATCTGGATCCTCCTCGTCAGCGATTACAATTCTCCAATCTGGTGAGCTTCCTCCTTTCCTTTGCTCATCTAAATTCTCTTCTTGCACTAGCACTTCATCTCGGTTGCCAAGATGTTGTTTTGCTGAAACTTCCACTAAATACTTATCCTTACTGATTGTCACGGTTTCCTTAAAACCTCGAGCAGATTCATGGCTGGGAATTTTCCCCTTGTTTCCATGTAAGTTCTGTGGAGATATAGAAAGAAAATTTTCAAAATCATCTCTTTCTTTCTCGTCTAATTGAATCCATCGAAGCGGTTGCCTTCCTTCTTGAAGAAGTGAATCATTGATTTCATCCTCTATATGAGATATTTTATTTCGTATCGCAGCTATGAATTCTCTATGCCTCGTGATTGTGTTCTCCTCTGAAGGATATTTCTCATGGCTTAGACTAACTTCCCTCTCAAAATCCTCCAACTGCAATCAAAACCAATCACCATAACTGAAATTAATCACTGAAACTAAACATAACCATAATAATCTAAATATATAGAAGAAATTCTCATTCATCACCTGCCATTTTGCTGTGCCAAGAGTAGTATGGAGCTCTTTTCGCATCTCATCCAAAAATTCAGGATAAATTCCATCATTTCTTTCTCTAACCCACATCCTATACGTTGATTCCATTCTGAACAAACAACAAATATTTAGGGGGGGATAAAAAATCGAAATCCAAAAGTACCAGGATAACAACTCCCAAAAACAAAACAATCAAACACCTGATAGGCATCCAATCAAACCCCAAAATCGAATTTTTACAACAACCCACATCTCAGAATCGCAGAGATTACACAGAAACGTAAACCCACCAACATTCAATCAAAAACACCCAAAACCACCCGCTAAAATCAAATTTTCAGATCGACCCAAATCGTAAATCCCACAAAATAGAAGAATCGACTTACGTATCGGCCGATTCTTGGACCTCCTCGGCCGCCGAGAAGAAAACATCCTTCTGCCACTGATCGAAAGTACTGATGACGGCCATTATCAAAGAATTCCTCAATGCTTTCTCTCGGTGGAGAAGCAAACCAAAAGAGAAGCTTAAAACTTAAAAGGGGTCTAGAAATCTCCTTCTCGCTTCTCTTAGAAGAAGAATTTTACAAGACCCCTACGAAGAGGAGAGAGAATCGTACAAGGGACTCTCTCCCTTCCCCCAAAATCTTTGGTGGTGGTGTTTCTCTCTCTTCAAATTTTTTTTTTAAAGGCTGGGGTTTTTAGCGTCGGCAGTTGGAGAGAGAGAGGAGATGGGAATTTTGACAGTGGGCCGCCAACTACTTGAGGACGGGGCCCATTTAACTCATCCGTGTGTGTCTTTTATACAACCAAAGAAGTGTGTGGAGCCGTCACAGGAGACTCCAAGAAGCGTATGTATTTGTAGTGTTCCAGAGTTTTATTTTTGCCACTTTCACCTCCAAAACGTTTGATGATGACAATTCAACACCTCAAATAGCATACATTGCCACCCCCAAAAAAAAGGTTGTTATAAAACTAATAAAGTAGAGTAGAAAAAATAGACAAGAAGTAGAAAGAATTTTATTTCCTTAATTTCTCCTTGCAAAGTGAGGTAGGAATGCCTCTATTTATATACAAACTAAGATGATGATATATGAATCATACTAATTACTCATAGAGAATATCAATGGATAATACATTTATCAATCTCTTTAGGAAACTAAATGGACATCCACATCATTTAATGGTGTCATAACACTCCCCCCTTGGATGTCCAACATTACACAAAGAATATACATCGTTAAAAACTTACTAAAAAAACCATGTGGGAAAAAATCCTAGTGAAGGAAAAATAGTACACTATTCTTGTGTATTAGTTTCTCTCCCTGATTCAAATATCATTTGAGATCTTTTAACTGACGCATTCCAATATTTTTTACCAATTTCTTAAAAGTTATAGTCGGCAATGCCTTGGTGAATAAATCTACCAGATTATCACTCGATCGAATTTATTGCACAACGATTTCATCATTCTTTTGCAAATCATGTGTAAAGAAGAATTTTAATGAAATGTGTTTCCTTCTATCTCCTTTAATATATCCTCCTTTTAATTGAGCTATACAAGTTGCATTGTCTTCAAACAAAATAGTCGGAGGATTTTCATTTTTAGGAGACAATACACTATTCTTCCGGATATAGTGGATCATTGATCTTAGCCAAATACATTCTCGACTTGCTTCATGAATTGCTATTATTTCAACGTGATTTGAAGAAGTGGCAGCAATTGATTGTTTCGTAGATCATCATGAAATAGCGGAATCACCACATGTAAATAGATAACCAGTTTGAGACATTGCTTTATGCGGGTCAGATAAATACCCAGCATTAGCATATCTAAGCAATTCAGGTCGAGAATTATAAAAATAAAATAAGCCAAGATTAATTGTTCCTTGGAGATAGCGAAAAATATGTTTTATATCGTTCCAGTGTCGTTTTGTAGGAGATGAACTAAATCTTGTTAATTAATTCACAGAAAATGATATATATGGTCTTGTACAATTAGCAAGATACATTAGTGCACCTATTGCATTGAGATATGATATTTCGGGACCAAAAATCTCTTCATCTTCCTCTTTTGGTCTTAAAGGATCCTTAGGAGGATCAAGTGACCTGACGACCATTGTAGCACTTAATGGATGCGCTTTATCCATGTAGAACCGCTTTAATACCTTCTGGGTATAAGCAGTTTGGTGAACAAAAATCCCATTTTCTAAATGCTCAATTTGTAAACCAAGGTAAAATTTGCAACTTAATGGAGTACATTTCTCTAGGATTTGATTTACATGCTTCACGCATGCTAAATCCTTCAGGGATTTTCATATAGATATCATTATCCAATGTTTCATATAAATAAGCAGTGACTACGTCTGTAGGCGTCAAAAAATGCTTACAGACATTCAAACACCACTCAAGACGACATAGAAGAACAATATACGCGTCATCGAGCAATGCATGGCGGCGCGGCAAGACCTGGTGCCGCGGCTAAGGCGCGGCAGACCAAGGTACCGCGGCTAAGGCGCGGCAGCCACAGCACATAGTGCCGCGGTTAAGGCGCTGCAACCTAGGGTGCCGCGGCTATGTTAAAGGAGTGCTGTGATGGTTATAATGCAGTTATCTGATGATTATTTGAAGTCCACGTGGCGGCGTATCAGAGATAGAACGTGTGTTGACGTGGACAGGCAGTTAAACCACGAAAAAGGTGGTTAAAGGTCGTGGGAGAACTGTTTCAAACACGTATGAACGTGGGTGTAACTGCCCCTTTAGCCGCGGCAGTGTCGACTGCCGCGCTCTTTGGCCGCGACAGTGTCGACTGTCGCGCCCTTTAGAGAGCCTTGAGTTTTGGTGAATTAGAGCAAGAAAGAGAGTCTTCCTTCTGCACAAACATCCTCAAGAAGTTTCTGGCGATTCCTAGAGATCTAAGCTCTGACTTGATCTTTAGAAGAGTGAACATCTTACATCGATAAGATATTCGCTTCAAATTCTTACTTCGATAAACGAAGGAAGAATCATTAAACCCCTCATGGTTCAATCAGAATCTGTGATTCGGTGGTCCACGAGTTAAAGCGCTCCCGGCACAGGCAAAGATCCCACGCAAGCAGCGATCCAAACAACGATCCTGCGTTTGTTTCTCAAGAGTTGTAATTTTCATTTTGTTGTGTAAAAGAGATCTTATAAAAAGACTATTTCTTTGAATTTGTTGTAATCGACCGAAGATATAATGAATTCCATGACAAAGTCAACTTTTGACGCAAACAAGCTGGCGACCATAGTGGGAGCCAACGGTCTCGCTGCCGAGACCGTCGTGTCGCAGCCGATCAAGATTCCAGTTGAATCCATGGTCGAATACGAATTCGACCAAACCAAGTTTGAGGAATATCTCTCATCCTCTTCAAGATCTTCATTATCTCGCAAGTACAAGAGGATCTCACCATTGAAGAAGACCTTCATGCCAAAGAAGGCACAGAATGAAGACTCTCGCAACATCTCTGCTCATAATGATTCTTATCTAGTTAAAGAGTCATCGAATCAAAGCCAACCGGCACTGACGAAGAGGGCTCATCAGAGACAACGTCAGCGCCACGCTCGTCAAATAGCTAAGGCCTTGGAACAAACCGACGGAGTTCGTTATCATGCGGACTTAGAGTCGAGGAGACATAGAGTGGTTCAGTTGTCTCAACGACCAATCACTCATGTCTCTGCTAAACTCACGACGGAGGAATGGACCCTTGTCAAAAGGGCTCGCTCAACCCTCAAAGAACGCATACAAAAGCGTAGGGCAAACGTCGCTCGTGTCCGTGCTCTTTTACAACAAAGACAAGAAGGGAAGAAGGAAACAGTGTCTAAAGAAGCACCAAAGAATCACAAAGTATGGATCCCCAAATCCAAACTCGTACTAAAATCGGGTCTGCATAATCCAACCTGTGACCGCGGCAGTCTTCACTGTCGCGGCACATCCTTCAACCGCGGCAGTTTCCACTGCCGCGGCACATCTCGCGACCGCGACGATCTTCCCTGCCGCGGTCAAAGAGAAGCTCCAAAGAGTTTTCCTTCAGCCCCATCAACGTCCATTCCTGGTCCGTATACTACAATCATAATTGTTCCATCACCAGGGAAGCCACGGTTCAGTCCTGACCTGTCAATATCCAAGATCACGATGGCGGATCGCCTCAATCCCTCATCTGACGACCAAGACAAAGTTCCAGTTAAAGAACGCTTGGGTCCAGTGAACGAATCCTAGGAGCCCGTTAAGACACCACATCCGCAAAGGGGTGGTTCTAAACGTGTGACTCCTGACATAACCTTGGATCATTCGAAGGCGATAAAAAGTTGTCCTGAGAACGCCAACAAGGCTTTACACCCCCAGAAGAAGACACATTCACCAAATGATATTGTCATACCTGGGAGATCATGCCAACAAACGATACGATTTTTTGGCAATCATACCGATGAATCGTATTATCAAATTAGGGGTGTGAATAAATTTCGAAAAAGAATTATTCGCTCTCATTGTTCCTGTGCACGACTTATAAGATCAGCTGTCCAAGATGATGAATTCCCTGAAGTCACCATCAACGTGGCTGATAAAAGAAAGTCTAAGCGGCATTCAAGTGACTCAAATCCTGACTTTTCCCCGAGAGGAAGAGTCAATCCAAGAATTGCTCAAAGGATGTCTCGACTCCAATTAGGAGCCATCAGACGCAGAAATTACAAGAGAATGCAAGAAGGAATGTCCTCGGAGGATGAATTCTCGGACACTTATTCTGCAATCGCTTCTGATGATACAATGTCTAGCACGGGACAAACCAGAGAAGTACTCACGATCACCTCTGATCAATTTGCTCAAATACTTCAAGAAGCTCTAGCCAAACAACGTGAAGAAATTAGAGCTGAAGTGAAGACAGAAATGGAGTTAGCTATCCAACAAATGAGAGAATTGCTAGCTCAGCGGCCTCAACCCCCTGAGTCCAGTCAAAGAACTGAATCCAGTCGCCACACTCAGAAAGTTGTGGATGACAGTGATCCAGAAGTGGATGAAGTCATTATGGCTGATACACCTCCCAATAGCAATAACGCTGGGGGTGGTTTAACACATTCTCCCAATAACGATATTGGGAGTGACGGCTCAAGAAGTTAAGAAGACGGGTATTCCATGTCCCTATCCAAGAGAATGGAATTCAATACCGTACCCGGCAAAATTCAACATGATTAACTTCACACTGTTTGACGGGAAGAACTCGCCTATTCAGCACTTGATTTATTTCAAATCTCATTTGAGCATGATCTCTGGAAATGAGGCTTTAATGGTCCGGTCATTCGTTGGCACCCTTCGCGGGTCAGCCTTCGATTGGTACCGACGGCTCAAGCCAGGGAGCATCAATTGCTGGGATGACATAGAAAATTTGTTCCTCAGCAACTTTTTCGATGATGACACCGAAGTGTCAATCGGAACCCTTCTGGATGAAAAACAAAAAGACGGAGAGTCAGTTGACAATTTTGTCAAACGTTTCCGTAACAAAGCAATGAATTGCAGAGATCCTATTACAGAGGAGTTCATCCTGCAAACATGCCACAATAACCTCTCCATCGATGTCCTGGAAGCTCTGGGGGTCGAGCCGTCCACAACTTGGAAGGAAGAAAGAAAGCTGAGAGAGGCCAACCAATGACATCTGCAATCGTTGAGAATGCGACTCTCGATCCGA